ATAAGCATAAAGCCTTCATACCTGATTTTATGCTTATATATACTTAGGTAACATTCTGATAAATATAACTCAAGTAAAAACTGAGGCGCCAAGAGATTTTCCCCTTATTAAACGAAGAGGCGTGTTATTCAAATTTGAGCAAACTGGGTCTATACTGTCCCGCTTGTGTGTGGCCTTCAGCAGGTCACTTCACCTCTATTACCACCTACCTCCCAAGACTTGTGGGAGGAATAACGAGCCAATGTGAGAGTACGTGGTCTACAGAATAAATGACCATGGCAGTTCTGCCAGCTTTCCTTGAAACAGGGAAAATCTGTAAGCTGAACATGATTCAGGCTCTTTAAGTGTAGTCGAGGGGCCAGAGTACTGGTATCACCTAAGAGCTTGCTAGAGAGTCCCAGGTACCACCCAGACCTACTGAATCAGAATCTGCATTTTAACAGTATCCCCAGCTGATCTGATACATGCACATTAAAGTTAGAGAAGCACTGGTGTGGGTCTCCACAGAGAATGCAGACAGCAAAATTCACTGAGTTTTTCTTATTACTCTTTTGGTGATGAGAGAATGGCCTGATGTGAATGGGCAAAAAAGAACGTCCCACCAGGGGTTCAATATGAACATTACAATTTTACTACTGGATCTTCCAAGACCATATTTGCATAGAGAAAAACGCTCTTTAAAAGGGATATAACTTCTGGTTCAGAAAGAGCAAAAAAATATTCTCAAATGCAACATTTTCATAAAAGTTTTCAAAGTTTTGAGTAAAAAAAATGTTAAGACCTGTCAAAACATTTTTAGGTCTTCTTTGCCCAATAGCAATTAAAATCATTTATATATGCTAAGCTCTTAAATATTTTGAGTTCATAAGGTTTGGTCAAACAAAGTCCTGGCACAGTTTATGATGATTCTGTGCTTACTGCTAACAAAACACATCACAAAAAGTGCGACTGTGTGTACAAAATGTATTAATTTTACTGTTCAACAAAAATACTATACCATATTTTGTTAGTGTAATTCACCTAAAGAACAGCTATGCTTTTCTTCATAAACTTAGTGGCCCTAAACATTTAAAGCATGCTGTACTTTTAAAAAGATTCAAAGATGCTGTTCTTGGAAGTGCAGAAAATAAAGTTAACAACTAATAGCCAAGAGAGTCACTAATATAAGAAATGATCTTGATACCATCTGCTTAAGAAATAATTCAGTAAGAATCAAAGTTTGAACGATGCTATTTATTGCTCTATGTTCTCTTCACATATGGGCCACAGAAATCCCACTCAAAGAATGTAAAGCAAAGCGGATTTTGTATGTTATGTGTGTGCTCATGTATACGTATACATATGTTAAGGTCTACTAGGCAATCCATCATCTATGGGCTTATTTTATGACCTAGATTATATCCCTCACCCCATTCATATATCGAATCTCCAATCCCCCATGAGATGGTATATGGAGGTGGGACCTTGGGGTCTTGATTATGCCGTAGGGGTGGAACCTTCCTGAAAGGGACTAGCACACTGCTAAGAAGCGACAGGAGAGGGAGGATCTCTCTCTCTACCAGGTGAGGACATGGCAAGCCGGAGGCCACCTGAAACCAGGAAGAGAGTCCTCACCAGCAACCGAATTGGCTGGCACCTGGATCTTGGGATTTCTCAGCCTCCAGAAGTGTGGGAAATACATGTCTGTATTTTAGGCCACCCAGTTTATAGTATTTACCTAAAATGAATAAGGCAAGTTAGAACATTCCTTTATTCCTCCTGATCTCAGGCAATCGTAAACCAAACGTCGATCAAGCACATGAGCCTGCAACAGTGTCAATATAGCCAAAACACTGTGGTGCATGTTGATGATGATAATTAGAACTTAAGAAAACTATATTCAGAAACTAACCTGATTAACTTCAGTTTTCAAAGTCTTTTACATATGATCTTGCTGTCCTCTCTGTCCTTAATACAATCAATCTACTGTTGCAAGAACCATAATTCTTCTCTATCAAGTACTTTAAATTCTAATAATTTCAGCTCATATGTTAAGCAATTTAAACTTTATGTACATATACAGACAATGTATCAGGGGAAACATAAAGAATGATTTTTTGAATATACTGTACTTATGCTGAATACTTCATTTTATCAATTTTCTATTGACTGTTATGAAGGTTAAACCATTACCTACAATTTGAATTCATTAAACAGTATCTAAGCAAATAGAAAACAGAAAGAAACAGGCAAGCTATGATTTTCTATCAGGGGGACTATACTTATCCTTCTTTATAAAGAGGAGATATTTTATTCCTTTTAGACTTCAGAAATCTACATCCATTTTCAAACCAAAAATACTCTACTCTCAAGATATTGTAGATGTAATCCTTTGAAAAAGGAAACATAATGCATCAGCCAATGAAACAAAATATATTAAAGAAAAAAATCCTTAAAACATGAACCACTCAATCTTAAAAGTCTAATCAAGACTGAGCCGTGGATATGGATGAATTAAGGAGAATCCAAATATATGGTAAAGCAAGAACGTACTTATCTTAAAAATCGTATTATGTCTTGTATAAATCAATCAGTAAATTAATATTTTGTAACTTGTATCTCCAGCAATTCAATTAGCATTTGGCTTGACCAAAGTTTAATTAAATTAAGGGCTTGGTGGTGCTTTGAATTAACATCAGATGCTAGTGGTCATCTCAAACCAGTTGCCCCTTTATACCTACTATGTCCTTGAAAATGGCATATTTTATTCAGGTCATCCAATCTTTTCACAAAGGCAGACATATGTTGAATACTACTTAATTTTTTGGTATCAAGGTTACTATGTTTCACTATAGGATTTAGTACACTGAAACAATTTCGCTACAAAACACTTTAGACAACTTTAAAATCATGAACTTGGTCCCAAACAAAATTTAGTTTCATGGAGAAACTAACTTTCACTGAAGACAGTGGTCCTTATCTTTCTTTAGTCACCATTGAGTTGTAAAATACAGTTGATATGTATTTAGTTCCATACCACCTTTGTAACCCATGACATCAATTGTACTAAAATCTCAGCATGTAAAATCCTGCTTGTGTAATATTAATGTACTGGTATGAATATAGCAAAGGAACATCCTTTCAAAACTACTGCCTGTGAAAAACTGTATATATAAATTTGCTTCCTTTCAAATGGCAGGTAGCTTGCAGTCTCTGTTATCTATCTAGAGAGGAAATGGTTTAGACCAGATACCAATTTGAGGTAGCCAAGCATAGCGTTACAGAAAAGTTGGCATATTTTTTATAGCTGTTTTTAATGAAGAAGATACCTCACATATGATCTAGTGACTGCAAAAGATGAAGTTTCAACTTTTGAAGGCTCAAGGCCCAAGAGGTTAAAAAAAAAGCTAACACCTGACATCTGACACTGCCTGGACTTGATGACCTGAGGAACATACTAGGAAGTCCTTAACACAGAAGCATATATAAGGAACAAGTGGTTTTGGTGTCTGACACAAAGTACATGTGTTCAATACATGCAAAAAGATAAGAAGACTTATTTAAGAAATGGAAAATTTCTTCTTGTTTATATGAGAGACATGGGATGGATTTAACAAAACTATAAGGAGATTTCCCTATCAAAAGTTAAGAGAAGTATATTTATCTCCAATGAAGAATTAGTTTGGGCAAAGGTGAATGAGACTCTTGGAAGTATCTGTCCAGAGCACATCACAGGACAGAAAGGGTCTCCTTATCCCCTCTGGGCTACCAATGCACATAGTGTGGTGAGAAAGTTGCTGGAGGGAGGCGGGTAGGTGCAGGCATCAAAAGAGTATGAAACGATAATGGTCTGACCTTACTTCAGGAAGAAACACTTACAGTGGCCAGCAGATGCCTCTCGTTAAAAGTACAGCACTAGGGGAGGAGCAGGCCGGAATAAATTCCGGGCAAAGCAGGAAGCAGGTCCTCAGGGTCGGGACTGTGCACCAACAGGCCTTGGCTCCCAAAGAGAAAAACCACTCCAAATGTGCCGAGAACAAGAGGGGTGCCTTGTAGCATTCCCTCACAAATATTTATTCACAGCTAAAAACTAACTGAAGGTGGGGTGTGGTAGCTTACACCTGCAAACCCAGCACTTTGGGAGGCCGAGGAGGGAAGACTGCTTGAACCTAGGAGTTCAAGACCATCCTAGGCAACACAGCGCGATCTCATCTCTACAAAAAATAAAGTTAGCCAGGCTTGGAGCGTGTGCCTGCAGTCCAGCCACTCAGGAGGGTGAGGCAGAAGGATTGCCTGAGTTCAGGAGGCCGAAGTTGCAGTGAGCTGTGATCATGCCACTGCACTCCAGCCTGGGTGACGGAGTGAGACCTGATTCCAAAAAATAAAAACTGAAGACACCTCACCACACAAACACCATTAGCATTTTTCATTCAAAGACATCAAAGCCCTTTCTGAATGTTATCCTCACGATACCTCTGTGAGGTAGGAGCGTAATTCAATTTTTTACTCATAAACAAGCTAAGGCACAAATAGAGCCTGAGTGGCAAAAGTTGTCTTTTGCCAATTATCAGGTCCCTGGATTTGTTCACTGCGACACACTTCTTCTACACTGATGGAGACAACTTGAGACACTGCTATGAAATGTAAGAGGGTACGTAAAAGCCAGAGTCCTTGGTAAGCGCCAAACAAAATCATTCATAATGCTGAGAAAATCGCACATTCTCTAAAGGCTCACTGATAGTCTTGGAGATGTGCTTCATTGAAAAGTACTAGTACATGCAGTCCTTTTAGAAAAGGAGACGAAACCACCCATGATTATAGGAAAAAGGCTGAAGTTACAGTCTTTTTGTTTCCCCACAGTTGAGATCAGAACTGTTGCAATCTTAACGAATCATATAATTTAAGAAACCTTAAGTCTTTAAAGCTTATCTTGTACATTAGAATTCTAAGTCCTATATTTTGCCAATGATTTTGATAGTTTTTAATTAGATTCATTTCCACATTCTTGGTCCCAAGCAATACTCTTTTATCATAACCAAATTATCTGTATAAAATGTAAATGATACTAATATCAGGATCTGATGCAAACGATGCATCCGGTCAGCAGACATGGGTTCTGTATTTTTCGAGAAATTCCTAAGTTCACAAAGGAAGCGTGCAATGTTAAAGAGATGACGTGAGCAAACAGGGGCGGCTTGTCTAATGCAGAATTCAGTGTCTTTCAGGAAACTGAAGGTACTAAAAAGTTGTTCCCCAATTTCTATGAACAACAATCTAAAAACGAACAATTCCATTTGATACAAATATACAAATTTAAAATGTGTGCAGTTCAGAATGGCCCACCATTTTCAGATTGCTTATGTGCCAGAAAATATACAGTCAATAAAAAAATACCAGAGAGGTGGGGAAAAAGGCTCTCTGGATCTGTACAGCAAAAATGAATATCACTTCAATAGGCAGCGATTCATGGAGGAAGTGGCATCCTTGGAATCAAGAAGAACTGAAAGACAGCAGGTCACAAGTCTGGTGATGGGGGATATGAAGTGTAGTAAGGCCCATTTTCCTGTAGAAACATAAAAAGACAAGAACATTAAGTAACAGGACCCAACTAACTGGAAATGTGCAAGAAGGAGTCCATAGTCAACGAGGTGGTGTTGATAAAAGGCCTAGCACGTATCTGGCCCTGAATAGGCCCCTCAGCCGTTAGGCAGTCCCACAGTCAGAGTCGGTGTAAAGTAGGCCAAGACACGCAGGATGACAATGTTTTTTAAGAACAGTACCCATAAAGTCACGAAGTAGGTAACATTCTCATTTACAAAAAAGGTGAAGGAAGATCACACAGACTGCATAATTAACCTAAGATTACCTAGTTAGTAACCAGCAAAGCCTGACTTTAAATCCAAATCCATTTGAATCTCACACACAGATTCTTTTTTGTTAGACTGTGTTGTCTTACTGTGTGCCAAATCTTAATACAGAGTTATGAAACAAACAAACAAAAAATCATCACAGAGGAATTTAATAACTATAACTATTTTGGCAAAAATGAGTCTTCTTCAGGACATGCCTGAGTGGCAAGGCTTGTAACAATTATAGTTCTCAGGGAATTTAGTTCAAGAACAAGACGGGGAATTAAATGCCAGACTTTAATGTAAAATGTAAAAAGCAAAAAATCAGTGTAAGGGGAAGTTTTTTAGCTCACACTTTGGTTAATTTTATCATATAAAATTATCATATATTTGAGATCTTATATCAAATTTTATCTTAATAAAAAAGGAAGACAGTTAACTTTATGGCAGAAGGAGCCTCGGTTAGATTTATGAGACTCAAGATAGGTTTCTTATTTTTAAGGAAAGTATTTATTTGACAAAGAATTTGTTTTTCCGTAACAGAAAATTCTTAGCATTAGTGTAAGACAATAGTTAGGAATAAAGAATGATAAATAGGATGAAAACAGCACTGCATCATGTTATGTTTAGATTATTGTTATTATGGAGCATTAAACCTACCTGGTCTTGAACACAGTAGGCAAATATTAATTGAGAGACTAAATAAATCAGGTGCTCTGTCATTTTTCAGAGCAGATGTTCTGAAGCAGGAATTAATCCTGGAGCCATAGACAGAAAAACAAGAAAATATCTAGGAGAACTTACTTTCTGATTATAAACCTGACAAGGTATCAAAAAATTAAAAAAAAAAATACTAGGTAGAAACAAATCTTAGGATTGGCTACATTTCTGAAAACTTGAAAAAAAATAACAAAAATGTACATTTTTTTTTGCATTTTAGAAATCCCAGTTAAAATCTACTTCACTAACCAATCCTGCATATTCGATATGCATGGAAACTATGTAAAAACATGCCCAGAAGATAAATCTATTCTGAAGTTCCTCTGAAAAGAAATAGTTCATTATCTGTCTCTGAGCTCTCTATTCTATTCCGCTACCACATTTTTCTAGGTTTCTTATATTTACATTAAATTGTGATAAACTAAAGAGTAAGTCTAATACTTATTGTCATAAAACAGAACTTTAGTTATTAATCACACTGTGTAAGAGACTGCCAAACAAATATTTTTTCTATTTCTGAAAACAATCATAGAAATTTAAAGAACTGTTGCCAGGTAAAATTGTTTATTCTCTGTTTTGATTATATTTTTAAGAACGCTGACTAGCTCTCTTTCTGAAATGGCCTCAGTATCATGGTTATCTAAACAAAAGTTATCTTTTAATTACCTTCAAAGGTCTGCTTTAATCCTATAAAACTTGTTGGTACTCCAAGTCACATAAATCCTAGAAAAACAGAAATCCACTAAAACTTGCTATTAGCCAACACTACTTCACTTCTTCACTAAATAAATAACCTACTATGTGAAAGACACAATTGAACATAACATCAACCATTTCTACGCTCATTTCTTCAATCATATTTAAATTCATCCTATCAAAGAAAAATGTTTTCTTGCGATGTAACACCCAACCACCTACTAGCATCTCCACCTCAGACCCAATAGGTCACAAACCAAACACATTATCCATCCATCCACGTTATCCCTTCCCCCAATCCCTCAATCCTTTCCCTCCAAATTGCTTCTCTGAGGTGATGGCCACACCATCCACCAAGCTTCCCAAAGCAGACACTTTCTTTCTGCTTCATCTCTAGTGGCTGCTTTATCCCTAGTGGCCTAGTGCGGATTTTATTCCTGAAACGTCGATTTCTACATATCTCTCAACTCTTCAAATCCTTGCTATTGTCTCTCCCACAGCCCTACCTGTAGTCTCACTTCTCCAGGCTTTACTAAAAGATTTCATCTGGCTCCGTCGAGACTATCGCTCTCCAGTCATTCCTACGCTGCTTCTACAGTTATTCTCTAGACAGGAGGGTAACAGCAGTTCTCCCTTGCAGAGCATGCTCCAGTGACTACGAAGCCAGAGCCCTGCAGCACGACGTGCAGAGTTCCAGCGTCTAGTGACTCGCCCTCTGTCTTCCCCTCCGCAGCATCTCCTGGTACCCTCTGCTGTGGTTTGAAGATGTGACCCTGCAAAACTCATGCTACAACTTGGTCCCCAGCGTTGCAGGTAGGGCTCAGGGAGAGGGATTCGGGTCACGGGGGCAGATGCTTCACGAACAGCGCTTTGGGATCCTCACAGTAACGAGGGATTTTCTTGCTTTGCCATTTCCATTAAAAAGAGCCTGGTGCCTCCCTTCCCTCTCTTGCCATGTGATGGTTGCACATGCCAACTCTCCTTCCTGCCGTGAGTGGAAGTAGCCCGAGTCCTACACCAGAAGCAGTTGCTGGCACCATCCTTCACACACAGCCTGCAGAAACGACGAGCCCAATAAATGTCCTTTCCTTAGCGATTACCTCGTCCCAGGAACGAGTTACCGCCACATAAAAACGGACTAAGACGCACTCTGGTTTCTTCCCCATTTTCATGCATCTCTCTGGCCTTCTCTTTGGTTCAATAGCTCAGTTTCATTTTTTTAAAAATTTTATTTATTTTTCAATGTCCCAGTTTTAGAAAGTTAGCGTTTAGGTACAGAGAGATGATGCAATGAGCCAAGTGTTAGATTATAAACCATCCTATTTAATTTAGATTAATCAGATGATTATGCCTGTATTTATAAAACAAACCAACCAACAAAAAACTAAAAAAAACACCCAAACAAAACAAAGAAACAAAACTGTGGTTGAGGGTGGTGGCACTGTAGTTAATATTTAATGAAAGGCTGCTTTGTAGGCCTTACATATATGGAAATACTTTGGCTTAAAAAACAGTCCTTTGGGTTTTCTAACCAAACATCCAACTTGTACATTTCTACCCCAGAAAACAAATGATAAATCTAGACACTAGCTTTGAATTGTCATTCCGAATTGCTGGTATTAAAGTATTTTTCAGTGCCTTTCACATCTCCTGCTATCCTTTTTTTAAAGCATTAAGAAAAATGATACAATGAGTTTCTTTTCAAATGACATTGAAAATTTTTCTACTCCGGCAATCTGCAGTAAATACAAACTAATGTTCTTTTTTCATTTTCAGCAATCTTTGTATTTATGATCCTGCTGCTCCAATTACAAATACTCTTTGTGCAACAGCCAAACATGAAATTTTAGCCATTAGATCATATTATATACGTTGTTCTTTACATAAGGGGAAAAGAAATCATAACTAAAGTTAGAGAAATGCTAGAGAAAAAACGTGCTGCAGGATTTTTATTTTACTGTATACATGCTGCACAATAATTAGGGAATAGCAATTCATTTCAAACTTAAAATAACTTTCTAATCTATCCTGTGGCTTATGCATAAAGACATGTAATTAGCAACAGTTAAACAATGAGCTCGATAAGCTTCTGCCAAGTATGTCACTTAAAAAAACAATTAATGGCCAGGCACATGGTTTCACACCAGCAATCCCAGTACTTTGGGAGGCTGATGTGAGACAATTGCTTCAGTCCAGGAGTTTGAGACCAGCATCTAACGAAAAAATCAAAAAATTAGCTGGGTGTGGTGGCATGTGTCTGTAGTCCCAACTACTCAGGGCACTAAGGTGGAAGCGTTGTCTCAGCCCAGGAGGCTGAAGTTGTGATGAGCCATGATTGTGCCACTGCACTCCAACCTGGGTGACAGAAAAGAGTAAAACCCCAACTCAAAAAAAAACAAAACAAAAAACTTTACTAAGGTGATATTGTGAAGTAACACAATGGATTAAAACTCTGATGAAATTCAAGAGTAGTCTTGGTCAGTGCTTAAATAACAGATCTGTAGATGTATCTGTAAGTAATAACAACATTATTAGTTGATGGTCCTAAAAACATTATACACTACCTACAAAAAACAGCCCTGGACCAGATGGCTTTTCAGAAAAAAAAACAAAAAATCATTACACAAACTTCTAGAAAAATAAAATTTCTAGCAGGGTAGATTACTAAGATAGGGTACCCGATTTACAAAAAATGCTGAAAGTGGACACCAATAGATTCTTCTGATTCTGTTTACGTAGATAAAAAGGCATTCAATCAAGAAAATCAGGCAGTTAGGTATTTGTCTCAAATGTAGAAAACTGACAATACAAATAAGGATTGGCTTCAAACTCATAGTAGAAAAATCTCCCATTGAAACATCTACCTGGAGAATATGCTTCTCTTAGGATGAACTTTTTTTTTTACTACAGTTAATACAGCAAAAGGATGCTTTAAATGACATTACCAAGTTTACTACGACACGTTAATTTACATTAATAGTATCTTATAACGATAGGATGTTGTGCTCACAAGCGCTGCTCTATAGGGTAGTTAATATACTATCCTGGGAGAGGAAGAATTTCTGGTACTGCTTACCCTGGCATCGTATTCAAGGACAAAAGGAGGGAAGTCGATCTGTTCTGGTGATATGGCAGAAAACAGTTGGTGGAGGCTGTCCATATGGTGGATTTTGTCCTTCAGTCCTGAGACAGAAAAGGTGGTAAAAAACCATGTTGACACCTGATTAACAGAAGAGAAAAAATAATTTAGGCAAGTTGTCACAGTTAGAAATATAAACTCAATTTTGAAAATTTATAGACAAAAACTATGTGGCAAAATTTTAACATAACCAGCGTTTTTCAAAGTGCAGTTGGTAGTTCATCAGTGAGGTGTGCGATCAGTTTAGTTGATTATGAATAACATTAAAAAAAAGAAGAAACTAGGATAACCATTATTATGGGCTGTAATGAGTTTTGTTTCATGAAGCTTTTGTTTCCAATATATGTGTATATGCTACGTGTACAGTGTGTTGTGATGAACCATATGCTTCTCAGGTGGGTTGTAGTAAAACCACTGCCATTATTTGGCAGACTGATTGGTGTTCTGGTACTCTGAAAATAGTTAATGTCTCTAAATCTCACAAACCCCAGTTTTTATTTTTATTTTTCAAACCCAAGTTTTAAAATGACATTGAAAATTGTTACCAATACTGGGAGTTAGATATTTTCAGTGGGTACTTGGCATGCGGTTTCTTTCCTAAAGTAAATCAAAGTGAGTCATATGTAGATGTGGAGCCACCCTTGCTCATTTTACTTTACAATGCAATCCTTCTATAAAAGCTGCTCTTCAAAATTTGTTGGTTCCAAGAAAAGAGAATTCTTGATGACAAATAATCCAAAAAGTAGGCAATGACTAGACCTTACAAATTATCATCTATCTAAATTGGCAATCATAAATTAGTCCATGATTACCAGTGGCTTACCCAACAATCCTATGAGGTAGGTATGATATTGTTGCTATCCCCATTTTACTTAGACAAGGTAACATATGCATATGAACTTACAAAACACCAGCATAATATACTTCAAACGGATATAACCTGGGTACACAGAAATGCATACCTGCTGGGTTTGGTAGCTCAACCTATAATCCCAGCACTTTGGGAGGCCAAAGCAAGTGGATTGCCTGAGCCTGAGGGTTTGAGACCAGCCCAGGCAACTTGGCGAGACCTCATCTCCACAATAACTCAAAAATTAGCTGGGCATAGTAGTGCGTGCCTGTAGTTCTGGCTACTTGGAAGGGTGAGGCGGTCCAGGCTGGGGTGGCCGTGAGCGTGCCACTGCACTCCAGCCTGGGCAACGGAGTGAGAGGGAGGGAGGGAGGGAGGGAGGAAGAAAGACATGCCACTTTGGGTGCTGGCCACTGATGCCAATCATTTTGTTAATTTCTCCTTGGTACCTTATTATGTTCTTCAAGGCTGCTCCAAACTTTTAACATATTACAGGTCCTTAATGTAACCTGCTTTCTTCATACTTATTTGTGAGAAAAGACACAGAATAACAGAAAACACTGAATTAAGTTATCTCTATCAGAATCCTATTCAAACTTCCAGACTCAATACAAGTGTCATTTCCACCATTATGTCTCCTTTAAAGCTACAGATTATCCCCTCTATTGAATTCTTAAATGTTTATCTCTCACTTATAGTACTTATTCCTACCTCTTAGTAGCTCACTTACTTATATTTATTTCTATAACCTCCCAAGTACCCAGCAGACAATCACAGAATAAAAGTCCTTAAAGTTTTATAAGGTACAGCCAGAGTCATGAATTCTCCAGTCTGTGACAAAGAAGAAATGAATTAAGATAAGGCCTATTTTACATGATTTTTACAGCATGGGTCACTATATTCTACACTGGCTACGCTACTGGTGACCAATATAAGGTCTCAATTAGTAATATAATCCTTTGTACCTTCTCCCCTCCCATGATATCACGTTTACTTGGAAGGAGGTAGTAGGGTCAGAGGAGGCACTTGGCCTTGCTAGGGCCAATCAAGTCAATTGAAATGATTCCTGAATTACATTCCAAAGTCAGTTTGCTTGTTTTTAACACATACTCCATTGGTACACACTCCAGCAAACTAGACTAGTGAAAATTCAAGATTAGAAGCGCCACAAATAATCACTGTAAAGAGCTATAAAGAGACCACAGAGGTTTCAGAGATTCTAGACAGAGCTTAAGAAAATCAGACAGATTGTGGAGGCAGAACAAAGAACCTTGAGAATGTGTTAGTAGATACATTTGTACAAGGAATCAAACACCGACTGAATGTTAAGCTTTGCACTGGGGTTGCAGGTGATACGGGGTAACAGTGATATGGTCTCTCCTCTAAAAGGGGGCAAAAGAATAATTACCTAAGACAAAACACGCTAAACGCACTGAATGCCCCAAAGGAAATATGAGAAGCTGTTAAATGCAAGGAGCTGTGGAGATGGAGAATGAGATAATACAATACAGAATGTTAATTATTGTGCAATAATATGAGTAAACACAGTGTTGTTGGGACATGCAGAAGGACATTCCTTTTCTAGCCTTGGGTGGATGGTGGTCAGAGAAAACTTCTTCACTGAGACAAATTCTGATCTGAGACCAGGTAGCTGTGCTACCTGGAAAAGGTATAAAGTTATATAGAGAGAAGAGACTATGTAGGGAATTTTTGTGCCACTGTCTCTTGCCTCAGGGTCTTTTCACGTGCTGTTCTTTTAGTCCTCATACAATTCTTTGCCTGGCTATTTGCCCTTCAGGGCTCAAATCAGAATTTGCCTCAGTGAGGAAGCTTTCTCTGACCACCCTCCACCCAAGGCTAGAAAAGGAATGTCCTTCTATGTGTCTCAACAACACTGTGTTCACTCATATTATTGCACAATAATTAACATTCTGCATTGTATTATTTCATTCTCTAAATAGACTATAAACTCCCTAATACAAAGATTATCTTACTCCATAGAATCTAACTAACACCCAACATAAAGTAAAGAACTCAATGTTTGTTGAGTTAACAAATGGTTGAATAGAAGTTTGTGACTTACTATTCCTTCATTCTACAATAAAAATAAATTGCACTTCAATCTGGGTCTCCATTTCTCCATCTATAAAATGAAAAAGTCATACTTGAGTGATTTTCAAGGTCTGTTTCAATTATATATTTCTGTTGAGGAAGGCATAATTAACATAGTTTAGAAGTAGTTAGGTAGGTTTTCTTAGACAGGTCTAAATTAAAATAGAGTAAGTATTCACACACCTTTCTTATCCATATATGACCTTTACCTGACTGATCAAGCATATTAGACCTGACCACGTTGCAGGTTGGAATGTAGAACTACCAGTGTAGTAAATCACAGAAACAATAGGGAATTACCTTGGCTCGCCCCGATAGTATATTAACTATTCTACAGAGCCGAGTTTGTGAGCACAACATCCTGTCGTGACAAGATACTACTAATGTGAATTAATGTGTCACAGTAAACTTGGTAATGTCATTTAAAAACACAGACATGACGTTTTAAGAAAAGTTCAAATCTAGTTAGACATTAACTTCTGTAATTTAGAAGTTCCTTGTGAACTTAAGGGATTGAGAGATGGTAATCAAAACCCCAAGACCAGATATCCGCAGCTCTCTTCTCTTAGCTCATGGTTTGCTTAGTAAAAAGTAGATAAACCTTCTTGTCGAAGGCAAGCACGTGCTCTTTCTCTTAAGGCATTCATGCTCTCCTTGAGCGTGCCCCTTTTCTTTCTAATAAATTCTCTCTTAAACTATACTTTGGATCCAGTCTGAAGTTCTTTTCTGTGTTAAAATCAAGAACTCACAAAGCAACACACCAAATCCCACCCGGTATCATTGTGACAGGACTGTTGAATGTGCTGCACCAGAGTGACACAGGGAGAGAGAAACAAGGCTGAATTAAGAAACAATATGCTGAGGACCAAATTCTGACCTCTTCTCTCTCTTGCCAAATTTCTAACTAATGGGCCCGGGAGATGGGTTTCATTAACCTTAGATAATATGGGTTACTTTCCAACCTGACTCTGGTATCACATAACAGACAAAGAAGGAAATAAAAAAAATTTCATGACCCTGTAAAGCATCTCTTGGGGAAATCTGCATCTGTATAGAATCTCCTTCCTGAGCATCCCCAGGGCTGCCACCTATGAGCTTCATCTACATAGCCAGAAACTTCCTCTCAATGTCCATATCTCATAGTAGCATTTCCTTTACTGACTTCAAAGTTCCTTAGATAGAGGAAATCTTTGAACGTAACAGAGAACTATGTTTCTCTTTTGAAGATTGTATGCCTGAGATCACTACCTGTTAACAAAAGATGCCCAACTCTGTAAAATATTTAAGAAAGCTTATTCTAATCCTGAACTGTACCCCACATTTTAAAAATAAAATAATTTTTAAAAAATGTTTATTCTGAGCCAAATGTCAATGACTTAGGTCTGTGGCCCTGTCCCAAGAGGTATTGAGAACATGTGCCCGCAGTAGTTGAATTGCACCTTGGTTATATACATCTTAGAAAGACAGAAGACCTGCCCCACCTTGGAGATGTCCCGCCTTCCTGGGCCAAAGCAATGTAAACCTCACATATATTGATTTATGGTTTTTTTGGTAACTTCTGTATTCCTAAGATGTATATAACCAAGGTGCAATTCAACAACTGTGGGCACATATTCTCAATACTTCTTGGGACAGGGCCACAGACCTAGGTCATTGACATTTGGCTCAGAATAAACATTTAAAAAAAATTATTTTATTTTTAAAATGTGGGGTACAGTTCAGGATTAGAATAAGCTTTCTTAAATATTTCACAGAGTTGGGCATCTTTTGATAACAGGTAGTGATCTCAGGCATACAATCTTCAAAAGAGAAACATAGTTCTCTGTTACATTTTCTGCCATTATGTCTCTTTTATCTTCTAGGTGTTAGCAGGAGAAAATAACTCAAAGTAGATAGAAACAGAAATACAATTACAAGTTTTCTGACCAGGAAGACTCATGAGGACTGTCTTTACTTATTTTCATTTTAGTTTTATATAACTTAGATTTACATTTTAATTGTTTATAAGTTAAAAATATACACGTAAACTTGCATTGATTAGTGTCTATATTAAAAACCCAAGAAAAGTAAACATTTGGAAAAGGACCATCGAGATATTCTGTGAATGCCAGAGATTTTTTAACTCAATTATTCAAATGCAAAGCCAAGAACACAGAATTACACAACAATATAAACTAGGAAAAGTCTGTTCACACATGTGCATTCAAGTAATATGCTAGAGCCAGACTCAACAGGGGGCTTAAATTCTATTAATCTGCATTCTATTAGTAAACTTCAAAGAAGATCTGAGAGGCACAGAAATCAGAACAGTGGGATTTGATTGTTTTATTTGTCATCCCTTGATTTCATCTTATTATAATTACAAGCACTCATTTATAGTTTTGATTCAATATAAAATAATGGTGATTTTTTTTTACACATACGTTTTATTCTCTCAATTCTCTCTCATTTTTCCCATACCAAAGAATAATGAAGCCGTAATATAATGACTTCTACGTTGAATATCTGTGGTCTTCAGCCTCTTTCCCAACCCTGCATTTGCACTGACTCCTTCTCGAAACAATTCCAGTGCTCTAACAGCCAAGGCTTATGGCTCTTACCCTGAAGCTTCTGGTTATGTCTATCCACTGATGTCCCAAAAAGGACAGCTATTTATTGACCTTCTACTATGGAGAAGGAGGGACTAAAGTTAGATCTTAGCAAATAGTGGCTACATAGTTTCATACATCTGGCACAAAGGAACATTGTTCTGATAAATTTGAATTTGTGACAGAGATAGCAAACAATCAAAAAACTAGTTTTTTCCATTAAAAAATACTTTATGAAAAGGTTCAAACACTCAAGTTGAAAGAATTTTACAGTGAACATTAGTATAGCCACCACTCAGACAACCATTAGAATTTTCCTTGTATTTTCTTAATCACGTATCTGTGCATTTCTATATCAATCCTTCTTACTTTTCTGCTGCATTTAAAAGAGAATTACAGATATGTGTACAGTTTTCTCAAATACAGCATTTATACCTTTAACTGATAGCCAATATTATTATTTAGTTTATCTGCTATAAAATTTACATCCAATGGAATGCACACATTGAAACACTTTTATCACCCCAGAAAAGTTCCTCATGCTTCCTTTTCCTTCATGCTCCACTACCAGCCAGAAGTTTTTATTTTTGCAAAGGAGCATTGCAGTACATAGTATATATAGGCTTCTTTTGTAACACTGTAAGAAAATTTCATGGCACATACCTGAAGGTACTTGGGGCAGTAAAAGACTGGAAGAAGGATAATATGAAAGCTAATTAAGAGGTTGCTGTGCCACTTCAGGTAAATGATGACGGTGGGATAAAGTAAGAACAGTGGGAATAAAGACAGGCATAGACCTGGGTAACAGTAAGCACACAGGTGAGGTAGCGAAAGTGCCCAGGAGTGACTCTGGCTTCTGACTTAGACACCTGGGTAGCCAGTCATCCCACTTGCTAAGACAGGGAGGACAAAAAGCAGTTTGGGAACAAGGGGAGGAGGAGGACATGCGTAGCTCCTCCTCATGTCCCGTAAGACATCTAAATGAAGACACCTAACCAGCAGTACTGTATTGACGTTCAGAGTCTAGGAACGATGATGATGACGGCAGTTAACATTACGGACAGTTCATCGCACTGTAGGACGTTTCAAAGAAGGTAAGACAAAGTGTGTCAAGGAAGAAATGACCACTGTGTTGAAGGCTGCAGAGAAAGCAGACAATACAGACACAAAACTGTCTATTAGATTTAGTGATGCAGATTATTGGTGATTTGGGTGTGAACAGCTTCAGCTGGCAGAGGCAGAATCAAAACCAGACTGGAGTAATGGAAGGTGTTTGAGAAATGGGGACGGTGAACATAGAACATAGATGATATCAAACTTGGTTGTAAATTTTGTAAAGTTGAAAAGGAGATGTCTTAGCATGTTTAAAGTTAAAGAGAGAGAGAGGCAGCTATCTTAGCATGTTTAAATTTGAACTCATCAAAGTGGGGGGGGAGAAAGACACTCCTGAGGAAATGGAAACACACTTTATAGTTAAGAGCATAGGCTCTGGGATTACAATACCTAAGTTCAAATCCAGCTTTTGCTACTGTTGGTTACCTTGTTTCTTTAATCTCTCTAAGCACCAATTCCCTTACCTGCAAAATGGGACTACTACTACTATCTACTCTGCAAGTACTACCATCTGCTAAGGCTGAAGTAAGATCATGCACAAAAAGCTGGCACATCGTAAGTGCTCAGAAAATTTTAGTTAACGTTATTACTATGGGATCTAGAGCACAGGTGGGAGTAAGTAAGGGGGAGCTGGTAGGACAGGGCTTGTAGAGAGCCTTGCTGGACACTGTCCAGTGACACAAAGGACCTCTAGCAGTGAAAGCTCCATGAGTCTGCAGAGGATTCCAAATCCTCACGTCTCTATGACTTTTTTCATCAGTGCTCAGCAAAGCAGTTATAGGATGAAGCCAGTGGAGCAACGGATTATATCAAGTTTAGGTTTTGATGGGCAGGCGTGATGAAAGGGTTAGAGGTCACAGGTTAATTTAGGCATTGACAATAGTGGCTAAAGTGATGGAATGTGGGTTTTAGACTGGATATGTAAGAAAATAAAGGCAAGAAAGATGACATTTTGAGAAAAGTAAAAGGACCGAAAAAGTAGATGCCTTGAAGTCATGTGGGATTAGGTACTAGAGATGTCATTGTGAGTGAGATAGCTATATTTTAGCCCTCACAGATCTTGCAGCTAACATATAAGGCAGAAAATTAAATAAGAAATCAGAATAAAAACATAACAACGATAGAAGACCACAGAATCATAACGGGTGCAATACAGAAATACCTACTGGCCGCAAGACTGGCCAGGGAAGGTTTTCTGTGGAAAGTAGTTGTCAAGCTGAGACCCAGACGATAAGCAGGAGCTAGTCACAAGCAGAAGAGGGAAAGTAGGTTCTGCACCAGCACCCGAGCAAAGCCCAGATGAGCACAGAGCATGGAGAGGCAAGGACAGAGATATCAACAGCTTCTGAGGGCTGCCACAAAGACACTGCAGTCACATACAACCAAAACGCTAGGACCACAACTCAAGATATTTAAAAAGGAAGGGCAAAGAAGAAATCAGCAGTCACAATGGTGATAGCAACAATTAAGATGCGGAAATAGATCTTAATGTTCTGGGCATGCACTGCACTTAAATTAGATTTAGCCAAAAGAGAAAAATACCTTTGAACGAAAAGTTGGATGAACAAAATAAACAGCCTTCAAATTCCTCTTGTACCTGATTCAAAAACAAAATAGAGAAAGGGTCAGTATAAGGGATGGCTAATATCAGTCACCATTACAGACAATTAACTCGGCTTGAGTATATATATATTTATAGAGGGGGAAAAAAACTTTTAAGGCAGCTATAATTTACATAATAAATTTTAGGTTATTTAAAGTATCTGTTTTTATGAGATATTAAGGGTTTCTGTCAGCTGAGATAGTCACCTACACATAGGATAAAGTTAAGTCAATTCACATTAATAAATTAATTGTGTCTTTTTTTATATGGTGCTAGAATCTCTGGGATCAGATGTATGAATTAAACAACAGTAAAACCATTTAAAACTACAGCAAAAATTAGAAACTAAAAGTTTGAATAATCATTTTACAACAATAGAGCTTACTATGTTCCAGAAATTGTACAAAGGCATTCTACTTTGTACAATTTCTCCTTTTTTTTTTTACAATTCTGTGAATTCCATGCTTTTACTGCTTCTACCAGGAAGACCCCCCAAAACTGAATTTGTTTATAAAAAATTGAGTATTTATTCTTACATGTTTAAACTTCAGTCACCTTCAAAGTACTCCCTGTTTGATGCAATATACCAATTAAGATGCTTTTTCCACCGCTCAAAAGTTTTTGAACTTGTCAGTTTTCATGCCTTTTTAGTGCTGTTTTTTGTTTCATCTCTTCCACATGGCAAATGTTTCCTTTTGAGGACATTTTTCACCCAGGGAAACAAAAAAGGGTCACCTGGGGTGAGATCAAGTGAACAGGGAGAATGGGGCATGGGGGTCATACCATTTTTGGCCAAAAACTGCTGAACACTCAGTGCAGTATGGGCAGGTGTGCGTGTATATCACCCATCACGAAATGGGTAAACACGTTGAAAGAATCTTCAAAAAAAAAAATTCACTGAAGCTGAAAGCAGCCTGTCACGACATGAGGTGGGGAAAGCCTGTACTACAAGGTGCCTGTCCTCCAAAAAATAATTCCACAGTTTTTGAGGTCTCCCCTCGTATTTCAGTCCCTCTAAAGTCACCCAGATATCAAGTGGTAGAGCCAGGAATTCAGCCCAGGCATATGGTTCCAGAATCATACTCTTATCTACCACTGTATCCACTCTCTTTAGGTGTGTCTGAGGTTTTTTCCAACAGTTCAGTAATCATCATTGGGTCATATGAGGTTAATTTTAAAGAACTTCAGAGAAATCGTACAAACTTTATTTCACAGTTAAGGCCAGTTCTAAGTTAAAGAACTGGTTAGTGGTAGAAGAGAACCGCAGTGGAATGAAATTTCTTTAAACATATATAACCCACATTCACAGCAAGCTAAAAAGGTGTCTACTGGGTAATGGAAGCTTTAAAAGTTCTAATTAAGGTAAGATTTATGGGAAGAATGAGACAGTTGGAAATTTAGAGAAATTTGCCTTCTTTATATTCTACTTGTAAAATGGGTTTCTTGGCCGGGTGCGGTGGTTCATGTCTGTAATACCAGCACTTTGGGTGGCTGAAGCGGGAGGACTGCTTGAGCCCAGGGGTTCGAGACCAGCCAAAAAAAAAAAAAAGGGCTTCTCAATACATTCATAAAGATACCGATACTGATGCTACATTACAAAACAACTAACAGGAGGAGGGCAGTGTGCCATTTTTACTTAGGAACAATATTACAGAGAAAAAATTTAAAGCATTATATTTAATCTTTGCTGTTGTGGGGTATACTATTTTCTGGTTAAAAGTTATATGATCATTTCAAGGCAGGCATGGTATAATGAAAATAATTTTCTTTTGAGTTTGCTAAGGTTGGAGTGCAGTGGCACCATCATGACACAGTAGCCTTAAACTCTTGGGCTCAGGCGATCCTTCTGCTCAGTCTCCCAAGTAGCTAGGACTGCAGGCAGGCACTATGACAGCTAATTTTTTGATTTTTTGTAGAGATGAGGTCTCACTATGTTGCCCAGGCTAGTCTCAAGCAATCCTTCAGCATCATCACAAAGTGCTGGGATTACAGGCATGAGCCACCCACACCCGGTCATTTTTCTAGCTCTAAGTTAGTAGCTTGGGTTCAAGATCAAATTTTACATTTGTAAGACTTTGGGGAAAAATAATTCACTTTCCAGAATGTCAATATTCTCTATTTTGCAAATGTAGATAGTGCTCCTCTTAACACACTTATGGGTTACTGTATCAAATTAAATAATGTTTACATATGTGTTTTAATAAGTGTAACATGCCATATAAACAGAAGGTAGTATTTTTATTATTTGATACACAAAGATGGGTAATGACCCCAAATCTTTTCCAAGGTGTTTAAAAATGAGAAAAGATTTACATACTAATTTACTTTAATGCAAAATAAGTTTGAGTTAAGGAGGGCCTCCTATGATTAAAATATCTAATGTACATATGGTAAGAATCTTTGTTGTATGAAATACCATATTACAAACACAAAGTGATGTTTTCTACTGCTTAATATTAGGCAAGAAAGAAACTACTTCTTCTTCATAATTTGCAAAAATAACTAACTTGACATCAACAACATCGTAGAGTTTCTTCAGGAAGTCAGAGTCCAGGTGATTGTATTCGCTGGTCAGTGTGTGAAAATATACTAATACATATTCCTTCACAGCAATGTGATCCATTACATGGATAAAATATAAAAGAGCCTAAAAGAAAAACAGGAATAAAGAGAACGATCATTTTGCACAGCAGTCTATTTTGCAGAAGCCAACAGAAAGGAAAAACCCCAGAAAATTAATCTAATCAATGTCCCAGGGATTGCAGATGGACATCTCAGATTGATGAGTATTTATTTTCTTTCCAGAGATCTTCAGCAGAAGGAATCATCTTGGTTTTTAATAACTCACACAAGTGCTACAGTGTAACCCTTTTCTCTTGCTCTAAGTGATAGAAGAGAACAAGCAGTCACTGTCCTCTAAAAGTTCTTCATATACTGGAAGGAGTTCTTGGATAAACTACCAGGTTTTCCCTAAATTTTGCTAATGATATCAAAATTGTCAGAAACAGAATTTCTAGACTTAATCATTCTTGAAGTTTCTGCTTGAATCTGTTCAAAGTCTCTGCAGTCTGTACTCAGATATAGACTTAGGGTCCACATGTACCCAAGAACCACTATAAAGGATATAATGAGTGATGCCTTACACGGCTCACTTTCAGAGCTAATTCTGTTAGATCTTTAATGCCATTCTGAAAAAGGACCCTGAAAATGGGCTTAGTCAGGCAGTAGGCTGGAAAGCATTTCTAGAGCTCTGAAAGACTCACGTTCAATGTGACCCAAAGTGGTTAAGAAATGTTCGATTACAAGAACTATGAAATTTAAGAGAAACACTGAAACAAAAGATACAACATGGGCAGGGCCAGTATGACCCAGAGGTTTAGCTGTAAACAATTACAAAGAGGAAGCTAAGAGGTAACTGAAGGATTACTATAAAACAGGCTGTTTTCCAATTTTTTCTCAGATGAGTCCTTGGCATTAACATGGTTGGATTAACATGCATTAGGATCCAACTGCTATCAGCGCAGACAGAGGAGAGCATTACGAAAACACATCATCCTTCCAGGTGCTACCTGGTTTGGTCACAATAATTATTAACTATCTCAATATTTTATATGAAATGATACATCATGAATCTGCAGAACCTCACCCAAGTACATATCAAAATCAAATGCAGGAATTTGTGTTTTTATTGGTACCGATCACATTATTGATGATGGGAATGAATATCACACTGAAAATTAAGTCCACAAAACAAATGGTCACAAAGAGAAACTTACTGATAGTGTAATTTTCATCAGTTCAGTTTTTCTTCTGTGTGCAAATTTTTATTATTCTTTCTTCTTCTTATTTATTATTATTTCTCCTCCTCTTACCAGATTGTTTCTTTATCCTCTTTCTGTCCACTCTCCAATCTTACCCCAGGGCAATTAGGATACTCCTTTTTGGCTTTAAATTCCCTATCTTAACTTAAATTTTTATAGTGTTCATTATAAAAAGGCATAGTCACATGACAGAAAAATGTTTAAAAGATTTCATGATTCTCTTCAAAATCATGAAATTCCTTTAAGATATGTACTTCATTTTTGTGCTTAAAAACAAAAAAACCTAATTAAGGTTAGTGTAAATACAATTTAATGCATCACTTTTTCTCCTACTGATATTATACTGTAAACATTTCTCTATAATACTTGCTTCTATAATCATAATTTTTAGGGGTCATAGAACATTCCATTTGTAATTATCCGTTAGGAATTAATAATTATGTTAGGAATTTAAGTTATAGCTTTTTGTCACCAATAACCCTGTGAATAACACACCAGGTTCAGTGCTTTCACAATTTCTTTTTTTTTTTTTTGAGTTGGAGTCTCACTCTGTCGCCCAGACTGGAGTGCAGTGGCCGCTCCCAGCCACCGCAGCCTCGACCTGCTGGGCTCCGGCAATCCTTCCGCCTCAGCCTTCCGAGTAGCTGGAACTACAGGCATGCGCTACCACACCCGGCTGATTTTTTGATTAATTGTAGAGATGAGGTCTCGCTGCCCAGGCGGGTCTCGAACCCATGGGCTCAGGCAATCCACTCACCTCAGCCTCCCAAAGGCGCGGGATTACAGGCTGAGCCACCGAGCCCGGCTTTCACAATTTTTTTACCCAAATACTAGTGACCAAGAGTCTGAGGGCTTAGTTGGAAGCAATTAATGCTTTTATACAACTTTTTTTATCTTAAAATTTTGTGTAATTTTGCATTTTTAAGTACTTTTTTCAGAGCCTACAGTTACTTCCATATATTGGATTATTTCCTTGGTATAATTTTAAGGAACAGAATGGTCAATTGGTGGGATCACTTTTATAGTTTCATCTTTGGCAACAAGATTATTACTTAAGTGTTCTTACTAGTTTTGAAAGTTAAAAAAGATATCTCATTCTAATTCACTTTTTTGGGACTACCCATGAGGTTGAATATTTTCTTATTTCTATTTTCCAGTTATAATAATTTTTTCTTTTAGGAATCATCTATTTCTGTCCTTTGCCTCCAACTGAAGGGATTATGGAATTGCGTTACCTTGGGTAAACCACATCTCTGATTTCTTCTCTTCTGACAGATATTCAAGCATTAATATTTCTTTTCCAAAAAAGACAGAATTTGGTTGTACAATTATAATACAGAATGAGTCCAACCAAACACTTGCTAGTTACATCATATATAAAACAAAGCAGCTGTGTTTTTGGAGATCATATTACGGCATTATCAGATTTTTGTTTCTTTGCTAGAGAAAAACCAAACCTCTAACTTGACTAAAATGATATATACCCACTCACAGTACCAGGTCTGTTTCTCTGTCAAAAATACCCACAATTAAGCCTCATCTCATGTTGTAAGTATCAATTCCAAATTCATATCCTACTTATTTTTTAAAATCAACACTATACGCAAAACTGAGCTTCTTTATGGCTTACCTTGTCCATATCTATTAATGTTACAGGAATGTTTCTTCCAACTACCACCATCACGGTGCGACCACAGTTATCAACACCTACAAACAGGAAATGTAATCAATACCCAGAAATTTTATCCCAAGAATATTATTTGTCCTGGCCTCTGATTTTATAAAAATATTCCATGTTAATTTAAAAGACTGACAACCAGGAAGTTTAAGTTTCTCAAATTTCAGCTTAATTTTTTTTTTACTGTGAAGAAAACAACATTTGCTTTTTAAAGCTACATGAGGTTTTGATCACTGTCTTGACTTTTAAGACCTCTTAAAGATTTTAAACCAGGGACCCAAAGATCTTCTTAAAAATAGCTTTTTGTTTAAGTTCACAACTTTTAATATTATCAGTGAGCCAGGAAAAACTAAATTTGAAAACTAAAACCTCAAATCTGAAAATTACTGAACTGTTTTAAAAAGTAGTGTCTGAATAATAAATAGAACAGAGAAAGTATGAGAATATAGGAACTTTCACTGTCTCCATTATATATTTATGTAAGGTTAGAATCTTGCAATAGCAAGTATATGGTACTTTTAGAAGAAAAAATTTTCAAAAGGACATTAAGAAGAAATGAAGTTGTTCAACGTAGAACTATATACTGAAAATTTTATAGGTTGAAATGTTATTTTTAAGATCTTGATGATGGGCAAAAATGATCTGCATTAATATCAAACTATTTTATTCACAGATAGAATGAACAAAATCAGAGAAAAATGAAGTCTCAAATAGCATGCTGGGTAGGCTCCTCAGTAAAAGAGTAAGTTACCATATCCTTAAGCTCACCTGTTTGGTATAAGGCTTTTAGAGAAGCAATATCAGACAGATCCTCAGATCTTGCTTGACATAACCAGCGATTATAACTAGAGAAATAAAGGATACAATCATTATTATAAACTCTTGTACATTAAATTTACAAATGGGACCGGGTTTTAAATATCGGTCCCTCACCCTAAAGAACTGATGTTTTATAATAAGGAAAGAGTTAAAGAGGCATTATACTACGCAGAATTTCTACTACATGTTATTGATAAAATAAAATGCAAATGAGTTACTGAGAAAGGAAGGTGGTCATGATTTTTACAATCTTTATAATTAAATGAAGACTATACACATAGCAACTAAGGTATCAAGCACTCAAATGAAAACTGTTTTAAAATACTATTATTTTCTTCTACTAAAAAATGCAAATAGAGAAAGCTCAAAGCAACAGCAGATCTTCAAAAGAGATGGTCACTCATTAAACAATTAAAAAATGTTTTTGAGTCAGAGTCTCACTCTGTCATCCAGGTTGGAGTGCAGTGGCTTGCTCACAGCTACTGCAGCCTTGACCTGCTGGGCTCAGGAGATTCTTCTGCCTCAGTCTTCCAAGTAGTTGGCACTACAGGTGCATACCATCTTGACCGGCTAACTTGTTTGCTTGTGGAGATGAGGTCTCACCAAGTTGCCCAGGTTAGTCTTGGTCCCAGGGATCAGGTAATCCTCTCTCCTCTGCCTCCCAAAGTGCTGGGATTACAGGCGTGAGCCACCACGCCCAGCTACTAAAAAAAAGATTTATTGAGTGCTTCATCTATAATAGTTATTGAGAATATCATAGTTAATGGACACTGTCACTGTCCTAAAGAAGCACACTTTCCAGGGTAAAAATAGGTAAAGTGCTGCACATGTTATGTGGGACCACAAAGGAGCTAGGTCACTTTATCTGGGAAATCCTGGCATATTTAATCATTGGTTAGTTGTACTGATACCCTGAAGACTAGATCATATATACTGCAGTTTGGCTTTGGCTAAGAGGATGTTAAAACTGGAAGAGGCATCAAAGATCTCACAGAGGAGAAATGTTCCACAAAATAATGATTCAGTTCATCTTAGAGTTGCCAGCCCTTGGAGTTGCGTTTGAAGTTGCACTTAGGTCTTCAGATTTCTGGGAAGGGCAGTACTTTTTCTACTACATCATACTGTTTTCTTAAATTCAAAGCGCTCCTTACTTGACTGTGAAAAGCTTTAAAAGTACCCAAATGTAAGAAAAGCAATTTTTAAGTGTCAAGGTCACATACAGCAACATCCTGTAACAACAAGAAAGTTAAACTAAAAAGAGAGACTTGGTTCTAATCTGAACTGCTTTTGGTGCAACCTTGCTTAAAGTGGTGATGAACCTGTTTTCTCAACTGCAAAATGATGCTCATATAGGACGTCTTTCAGCTATAAAACACAATCGCACAACTAAAGATGTGCAATGGGAAGTCTATTACACAGGGATTGTAATCAACAAGTGATATGCCTGTCAGTTGGTACTAGCAGAAAAACACACTTGACACTGCATTAGATCTATAGATTACTTTCTTAAATTTGGTAATTTACTGACCTATGAAACGGAAAAGTCAAAGACAACTGCTTTCAATTTTGGTTTAAAATATCATTTGAGCTGGGCTTAGTGGCTCAGCCTGTAATCCCGCGCTTTGGGAGGCTGAGGTGAGTGGATTGCCTGAGCCCGTGGGTTCGAGACCGCCTGGGCAACTTGGTGAGACCTCATCTCTACAATAAATAAAAAAAAACTAGCCAGGCGTGGTAGTGCACGCCTGTAGTTCCAGCGACTTGGAAGGCTGAGGTGGAAGGATTGCCGGAGCCCAGCAGGTCGAGGCTGCGGTGGCCGGAA